ACCCCGGAAAGGCCAAAGGCCAGACCCATCGACAACTACAAGGAGGGGGGGGTCAACGAGGCTTACCACTGCCTGGAAAAGCTTGCTCTCTTTGATGTCAATTGGATGACAGCCATCAGCACGTACATAGCTAGAGTTTCTGATCCTTCTTCACCTTTGGAAGTGGAGCTCAGCAGCGGAGAGGTGCTTCGTGGCGAACTTCATTCCCATTGGAAGGCTCGGCCGCCTAGATGGCTGGGGCGCACGCTAGATCTCGAAAAAGCTTACCGACAAGTTCCACTGTCTTGCGATTCACTGAAGTTTGGTGTCGTTATGGTCACGGAACCATCGACAGGCAAACGCTGCTACTTCGTGGCGCAGAGCCTCCCCTTTGGGGCTACTTCTTCGGTATTCGCTTTTAACAGGCTTTCGAGATCGATCTTGCACTTAAGTTGGCATCTTCTGGGCCTGGTTTCAGGGTGCTTCTACGACGACTTTCCACTCCTGGAGGTGGATGCTTCGGCAAAGCTTTCTTCCGAGTCATTTGAGCACATGCTTCGGAAGCTTGGGTGGAAGTACTCAACTGAACCTGAGAAATCGCTGCCTTTCGAAGAAACCTTCGATCTTCTGGGAATTAGGCTGAACGCTGGCGGCATCGCTGATGGCGTGGTCTCCTTGCACAACAAGCCTAGCAGGTTGGACAGGATGAAGGACGCGTTGCTCCAGATGAGCTTGAGTGGGAAATGGGATATTCATTCCATCCAATCGCTGCAAGGGCAGGTGAATTTTGCTGTCGGGTTTGCTTCGGGAAGAGGTCTAAAGTTGCTGCAAAGAGCCCTGGGAAGTTTTCTTTGCGATCCCGGGATGCGGACGGCTTCTGATTTGCGCTCTCTCTGCGACTACGGGGTGGATCTCATAGACGCCTGCACGCCTAGAATTTTCGCTTGCAGGGGACCAGTGAGTCCCGTGGTGATCTTTACTGATGCTGCCTATGAACATGGGGTAGCGTCTTATGGCGTGGTGGTTCTCGATCCCTTCTCTGGCACACGGCTAGTCGCTGGAGGGAGGATCCCAGACTCGCTGGTTGGCTTCTGGCGGTTGGACAGCCCTGAACAAGTGATCGCGCAGGCTGAGGCGTTCGCAGTGGTCGCAGCCCGAGAATCCTTCTCCCGTCTGCTCACAGGAAGGAGAACCATCTATTTCGTGGACAACGAAGCTGCTAGAGAAGTACTGATTAAAGGGGCGAGCAGATCGCGAACGATGCTGCTGCTGGCTGCAATTTTCTTCGAGCTCGAGAATAAAGATCATGGAGTCACTTGGCTGGAGCGCGTTCCGTCTCAGAGTAACATAGCCGATGCTCCGAGCAAGCCCCCGGCTCAAGTCGTTTTCGTGTGCTCGTCTTAGGGGGTGAACGTGACTCGAGGCCCCCAACAGGTTCTTCTTTCAACCGTGGCCCATCGACGTTTCCAGCAGATACTGAGCCATGGTTTCTTTCATACATGCTGGCATGCTTTGGATGGCTTTGCAGATTTTCATGTGGATTTCATGCAGTGGTGCAGTGCGACGTTGCATGTCTGTTGAAGGATCGAGAGAGACAAGGTCTTCTACTGATGAGCAGAGGGCCCAGCCTCAGCTTTACGAGGTCGCAACGGACCCCATCAACACCACTAGATGCCCCTTGTGGAGAACGCCAGAAGGTCTTCGTTATACACAGCCGCCACATTCTGCACCCTACGCGTATGAGGAACAGCGGGCTCCGCTTCCCCCTCCATTGCAGTCATGGGAACGTCTGGTCAGTGTGCTTCTGTCAGGTTCAGTTGAGTGCTCAGGACGGCAAGACAACCACACAAGCTCATTGAATGCAGCAACCGACAATCTGCCTTCAGGATCGGCGGAGACTCACAGACCGCTCAGGCCGGTCGACGTCTACCGGGACCCAGGCAGACATGAACCAGATGGGGAGCTGCCCGCGTTGAAGCGTAGGCTCGCTGCTTGTGCACACAGTCTGACTAGAGTGCTCACCAAGGACAGCCAATACATAGTGGTAATGCAAGAGACATCTGAACAGGCAGAAATCCAACGACGTCGAGATGTGACTTCACCAGCTGTAACTGAGGACCGTAGTAGCCAGCGCAACGCTTGTCAGACACTCAGGCAACTGTCAAACATCATGCTGCAAAATTGCTCGCAGGCGGTTGATGCAGCAAGAGAAATTTACTGTCACCAATCCAGTCCTCGAGAATTGATGTGGCATTGCAGCAACAGCTTCGCTGCATATGCATTACCGGGAGTTTCCTGGCCCCAGCGCGTGAGCACGTGGAAGGCCAGATCATGCAGGCGGGAGCACACATTGAGCTGCATGCTTGGCACTGGTAATTTAACGAGCACTGCTAGAGAACAGAATCCGCTTGCCCGAATTGCAACCTTGATGGCAGTAACTTCCTTTCAGACAGTTGCTCCAAGGCCAGCAACTGCAAAGTCCTCAGTCAGACTTGAACCCGCAAGTATGACAGGGCCTGCGCCAAAGGAGCTGACACGGTGCAGCACCCAGGCACCAGCTGCTTTCGCTCCTGCTTTTCACTCACGAGGGCAAGTGGTTTCCACTCCCAAACAGGTCAGGCACAGTGGGTCATCCAGCTGGTCACAAATAGTAATGCAGACCATTCAGGAAGGGCTACGCAGATGGAAGCCCCTGACTAGCTCACATGCTGACATGTTATTCACTGCCTTGATGTGGCCTAGATTCAATTCCATCACTCGACACACTGAGGTCAGGGCCACGGCCAACTGCCTACCGAGCGGCATCTCGCGGTCGAAGAAGGCGGATCATGGCTGCGAACATACCGAGTTGCAAACTGAAGACCACACGGCAAGACGTGACTGTTCTGTTCATTTAACATACGCAATGCATTGGCTCTGCACTCACTTCACAGGGATTGCGGACTCCGCGCCCTTTCGTAGACGGAGCACTCTTGGTCAGGGCAGCTTCTCAAGACTCATAATGTCGGAGGCACCATGTACACCATGCGTGACCTGTGGATGGCGCCCCTGCAGATGCACGTCGTTGGAGGGGGCCCTGCACAGCAGGCTACCTGGCGAATCCCACGAAAGGCAGACATCTGGAGGTTCTGGCGACTCCACTGCCAGCATGATGTGCATTTACTGTCTTGAGCAGCCGTGCGTCTGCATGCAAACAGCTGCAGTTCCGATTGTCGTGCCGAAGTCTACTCACACGGAGGGCGAAGATGACACAGCACACTTCCTGGAAGAGCCCATAGAAGTGGTGAATGCACAGGAAAGTGAAAGGGAAGGCGGACTCCGCACCCAAGATCACCAACCAGTGGAACATGATGCTTCTACAAAAAAGGTAAACACTACGTGGCTTCGCTTCCTTGACGTTGCACAGAATGATCAAGAAGCATCTCTCCTACGGGCCCTTCCTGAACCATCACTGGAAGTAAGTGACCTTGCGCGAGCGAGCTTCTTCCTTGAGCAGATACGCCAGCTCCCGGACCCCTTGAAATCAAGGCTTGTGAACAAGATAGAGGAGCAGCATTCGGATCTCCTACGAGAACCTCGGGGTGTAGATCTGGTCGCACGCTTTGAGGCGCAGCGATTGGAGACGGCGACTATCGGGACAACGGCAGGACACGAGATGCCGATGCCGACAAGACCAGTGACAGGACCGGAGGGGAATGCGGCCTCCGCCCCTTTCACCACGGAAACAACAGACCTCGACGAGTTCTTAGCAGGTTTTGCTGGAGCTTCTGAGACTGAAGACAATAGTGCAAATCTGCAAGACATAGGCGGGCCATTGGCAGACAGTGGAGAGGCCTCTGGACAAATTGCGTCCACGCCGGATGTACAAAGTGAGGAATCTGATGGAGATGGGCCAAGGTGCTCCAACCGGCCGCCCACTCGAGCATATGAGAGTGCATGCGAGCGTACAGTCCTGATGCGCACGGCAGACAAGAGTGCTAGGGCATGCAACACGGGTGCTTATCGGGCTGCACGATATTCTGCGCAGGACACCCACTCGCAACACGAGCAGCGCGTTGCAACTGGGAAGGTGGACTCCACACCCAGCCGGACACTCAAACGCGAAGAGAGTTGCCCAGTTTATGCGATTCATAGCAAACTCAATGCATGCGCCGACCGCCAACAGATCGATGCTGTGAATAAACAAGAACTATTATCTGATTACAATAGAGCATGCGTGAGTGCCTCTAAGATCGGATTGTTCAAAAAAGATCACAGCTGTGCATGTGATTGTGCTGCAACGATATGGTATGCCATTAAAACATACACAACCCCACAGCCCATCAGAATGCACGCACGACCTCCACCTGCCCAGGCTGACACATCCACGAGACGGCGCAACGATCCCATCGACACTGGGAACGTGGTCTCCACACCCAGCAGGGCACTCAATTGCCTTGCGAAGCTGCTGGTTTGCATCCTTACGTACACACATGCAGAACAAGAGTTCAGCCATCGAATCGGAGCACACTTTGGCTCATGCCCATTCCTCCCCCCCACCATAAGACCAGCCCTGACGGAAGCACAAGCTCCTCGCCTTCCACTTCTTACACCTGACCTCGGCCTCCGTAATTACACTGAAGATTATGTGCAAGAGACTGAACTTGAGATAGGTCAGGACACCCACAGCGTCGCCTTGAACTCTAATCACATAACTACACGGTTCCAGGGACCAGCACCGGAGATACTAGTTTTAACTCCTGCCAATGCGCCTGCCTGCAACATGGGGCCCAGTCCGAGCTCAAAGAAGAAGTCATCTCGGCGTTTACCCACAAGACTACGCCAGTCGGGCGCTGCGCCCACAGGCAAACTACTTGCCCTCAGACAGGCCGCGGTGGCAAAGGCGCAGAAGAGGCAAAGGAGTACAGCGGACTCCGCACTCCACGAAGCCTACGCATCAAGACGAACCTGGAGAAGAGCCATCAAGTAGTAGCAGAGTGCGCTTCCACCCGAAGAGACGTAAGAAGGCCAGCTCGGAAGACATGGTGGAGATGGACTACATCATAGAACTCTCTGAACCAGAAGAGGACACGGAGCAGGACACGGTGCCCATACCAGCGCACAATCGCAACCTGACAGCGGTCTCCGCTCAGGCAGCAAGCAGCCGTCGACACCGAGAAGATCCGCCACAGCCCGCCTCGGGCGAACGCCCAACCGCGAGCAAGCGGGGGGAACCGCCTAGACCACCGCTGGCGCGACGAAGAAAGACGGCCATATCGAAAGCACTCACGGACGTCCTGAGACACTCTGGAGCAAGGCATGGATTGGAGGTGAGAGCAGATGCACTCTTTGACCTCCGTGCCGTTCTGGACACGCACAAGCTTAAGGCGCTACATGCACAGGAACACGAAATCCTGCAAGTGGTCGAGGAGAGCGACAAGAAGAGATTTGAAGTGGTCCGGCGGGAAGGGGCAAAGTGGATCAGAGCGGCACAGGGCCACTCCATGGAAGGCATAGACAACTCCACCTTCCAAGTGCGAGTGCCCAGACGCCTGCTGCCACAGGAGCTGTATCACGGCACATACGATGATGCCTACAGCCAGATAGTCCAAAGTGGACTGTTGGCGGGTGGTCCGAGCCGCAAGCGAAATGACATACACCTCACGGAGGGGCTGCCGACTGATCGTCCTATCTCAGGAATGAGAAATACATGCAACATTGCACTCGCGATCCTACCGAAGGAGGCTGCGGCGGAGGGGTGCACGTTCTACAAGAGCGGCAACCAGGTCTATCTCACAAAGGGTATCGGCACACAAAAGGTCCTCCCAGCTCGTTTCATCCACGCCGTGATTATCCTGAAGAGCGGAGAGAGAATCTTGTCAAGAACCGCAGATGGGCCACCGAGCCTCAGGGATGTGCACGCGGGCCTATTGAGGGCCAACGACGGCATGCGGGCTCCGCGCCGGAAAACCAAAGCAAGAGCTCTTTGCGCAGGGCGTGTCAGTAGGCATTCCTATAAGCTTGGATACATGATGCGCAGCCAAGCCACACTGCATACCCTACGCCCTAAACATGACTACTATGCATGTATGCTTTCCGCTGCCCAGGCCAACCGAGCAAAGATCAATGCCGGGAGCCTGATTCCACGGCACACTGCAACTGAGCCACGCTGCATCCCAGTGCACAGCGTTCATCTAAGCAAGTGGATGAGCCCGGCTAAGCTCTTATGCAAGGCCGCAATGCCTGAGACCACGACCAGTCTCCTCCTCTCGATGGTCGGGATCTCTGTCAGGGTCAGACGCAGTGCATGCCAGGAGAAATTGATGCATATACATAAAGCTAACATTCCTGAAGGACCGCAGGACATAACATGGACCAAGCAAATACAGTACCTGAGTCGCCGCCACTGCTGTATCATACAAACCATGATACCTTCTCCTGAGACTGCCCCTGTCAGCCAGCGACAATCCACTTACCCCTACCGGCCCCACCCGACACATGAATGGACCTTACTTATAAATACCTCGATCCAAACTGCAATGCCGTCACCAAGCTCGCAGAAAAGATCAGCACGACGACTCCCAAGCCGGCTCCGAGAGACAGGTGCGGAACCTACGGGACACCTACAAACCTTGCGTGAGGAAGCAGTAGAACGAGCCAGAAGTCGACAAGCACAACAACAGGACGGAGGAGACGAAAGTGACTGATGGCATACCTGGAGTTGGTGGTCTCCACACTCTCAGGAATGGCAATGGCAGACCTCGGACGGTACCAGGGCAACAGATGGAGACGCACAGGGATGGGGGGTGAACGTCATGAATACGCAGGCCGCAACAAGACGAACACAGTCCATGGAGGGACTACTCAACGAGCTGGCTACCGGCGTTGCGGCAAGTTCGAGAAGGAAAGAGGCCAAGCGGTCCACACCCACGACAACGACGAGTGAGACCTCCAGGCTGGATCTACGGGAGACGACGCACCAGGAGGCTGAGCACCCAAGCTCTTCTTTCCAGACTGGAAGTGACAGTGCCCCCTCCAATGCTCCTGTTGGGGGGGTGCACTACCCTGCCTCCGGTAAGGTTAGTGGTCTCCACACCTCACCTGCGAGCACTTCAACATGCGGGTTGACACTCACTACCATTCAGAAGATCGAAGAACCTCCACTCGATCATGATTCTCCCGATGCTGGGCCGATGAAGGCTCCAGCTGCCTCGAGCCGATGTTCCGATGAGCAGGAGACCAGACAACGGTCATCTGCTGCTAGGAGATCCAGCACCATAGAGCCACGGCCCGAGGAAAGAACACGATCGTCTGCAGCCCGGAGGGCCAGTACCATTGAGCCACGGCCCCATCTACTCCTGGTACAAGCGCCACTAGAGGTGAGAGAAGTCAAGCACCGTCTACTTAGGGAAGCGAAATCGGCAGTGCTCAGGCTGATTCCGCATGGAGACGACCTTCATACTTTCCTCAACGGCTACTTCAGGCGGCACCATGCAACGTACCACGCCAACCCGGTGAACATGCCCTCGTGTGGGAACTGGATATGGTCGCTTACTGCAGCATTGATGACAAGGCCGGAATACCACCCCAACGTCTGGAGGCGTAGCCACGCGGGAAAACTGGGCGACGCGGTAGAGGGATATCTGTACACGTTATACCAGAGCCAGACGGCGGGGAACCTTGCCCTGCTGGCCACCTATGGGGAGGCTGCAAAGTACCTCCACGACCTGATGCAAGGAATCCCGCACGCCATCTACTACCGCCTGAGCTGGAGGCAGTCACTTGACTCGCTCACGGAGATTCTCGAACCATGGATAGGAGCAGCGTCTACACAGGACATGAGGTCCTCGCACCCCGTCTTGACACTGGCGATACTCGACCGCAACGAATCCATAGCCGTGACAGTTGAGGCGGAAAACACAGGGCTGGACAAGCAGCAGACAATGAACAGGAGGGAGGAGAGACATGGACCTCATGGAAAAGATGGGAGTGGAGAAACAGTCCCCATCGACCACATAGAGGGGACAAGACCTTCTAACTCTGGTGAAGCTGGTGGTCTCCACACTTCACCCATGGTCGGCCTGGTACCTTGAGCCAATGCTCACAACCCTCAAAAAGCAGGCGGAGCCTCCACTTACTCTTGATCTCCTCGTTGCACCGCAGACACAGATGCCAGCTGCTCCGAGCCAGGGCCTTGGCGAGCAAGAGGCCAATCCGCGATCGACTGCAGCTAGGAGGTCCAATACCAATGAACCACGACCAGAGGCAAGACAACGATCGTCTGCTGCACGGAGGGCTAGTACAGTGGAACCACGGCCCCATCTACTCCTAGCACAAGCACCAGAGGAGGTACGACACGCTAAGCAGCGCCTACTTCAGGAAGCGAAATCTGCAGTGGTCAAGCTCATTCCGCATGGAGACGATCTCCACAACTTCCTCCACGGCTACTTCAGGCAGCATCATGCGACGTATCACACCAGCCCGATGAACATGCCCGCCTGCGGAAACTGGATTTGGTCGCTCACAGCGGCTTTGATGACAAGGCCGGAGAGCCACCCCAATGTCTGGACACGCAGGCAGGCGGGCAAGCTGGGTGACGCGGTTGAGGGCTATCTCTACACGTTGTACCAGAAACAGACGGTGGAGAGTCTTGCCCTGCTGGCCATCTACGGGGAGGCAGCGAGGCACCTCCACGACCTAATGCAAGGAATCCCACATGCTATTTACTACCGCCTAAGCTGGCGGCAGTCGCTCGACACGCTCGAAGAGCTCCTCGAGCCGTGGATAGGAGTGTCAGATGCACAGGACAAGCGGTCTCCGCGTCCTGCAGTGCCACTGTCAATTCTCGACAGCAAAAAAGGGCCATGCAATCAGCTTGCGACACAAACTGCTGCCTGTACACATGTCACATCAAATGCGCGCAGTTGTCTTGGTAGACGAGGTCGCAAATGGCGACTACGACCGACCGTCAGACGCAGACACCTACGAGGCAGGAGGCGCCGAAACTGCACTTCTTATCCATTACAAAAACTATTCAGGCTTGCCACAAAGGCGCAACACATTAGGAACCTCCTACAGCAACACACTAATAAGATCAGCAGCCTGAGTACAAGGCAATCGACGTCAGCAGAAAAGTCTAAACCAAGACGAAAAATACCTGAGAAGACGAGCACAACTACACCTGGACTGAGCTTGCCCGGTCCCAAGTCCGGGCTCTACGCACTCGTTTGGATGACACACCGCATCACACGCGTAGGGGGGGTGAGGGTTCCCGTCTCCCACGGGGCGGGGGGACCCACAACAACTGATCGCCACTTTCGCGCATCCCTGGTGGGGAAGCAAGTGGCTGGCGAAACAACGGCGCCGGTGTTCGGGGCCGCAGGTGTCACCACTCAGGTGGGACGAAAAAGAAGCTTTCAGAGAGCACAACACCAGAGTACACAGAATACACTTGGCTACACTCGATATCGAGGGAGGTTTATGCATTGCAGTCAGTTGGGTCTCCACACTGCAACCATGCCCAGCCTAACGACGGCCAAACCACGCCGACCTCCTTGCAGACCACGAGGTGGGGCACAGCAACGTCTCAAGGTCCTGTCCATCAATGTTAACAGCCTAAGCGGGTTCCTCTGGGGTGAAGTCAAGGCGTTTCTTGGTGGAGAGGGCCTGCAGTATGACTTCATATTCCTACAGGAAACGCATCGCACTGCCTTTTGCGCATTCAAGGTTGATAACTGGATGGCAGTTGGCTCCTCAACAAAACGGGGAGAGGGTGTGCTCACACTGGTTCATCCTCGTTACGATGCCTCCATGGTTCGTTACCAGGAGATAATCCCAGGCAGAGTTCTAAGAGTGAAGGTATGCCACAAAGAGGCAGCCATCGAAACACTTAACATATACCAACATGTTTGGATACACACGGATGATCCGGAACAAAACAAACAGAGGCGACAAACCCTGCTCGATAAGTGCACTGCCACAATACAGGGCATGGCTAGAAGAGACACCCTGATTCTAGCGGGAGATTTTAACTCAGAGGTACACGCAGTAAACGGATTGATCGGGACACGCGTGAACCGCTCGGCCTATCACCAAGCCCTTGACCCACTCACACTTCCAAGATTCATACAAGACAACGCCCTGGTTGCTCTAAACACTTGGCATATGAAGGACCCATGCACCAACCACACCCGTACGGGCAACTCTCAGATTGACTATATCCTTGTGCGCGCACCAAGTGCTGACACCAGAGCGAAGCAAGTAGTCAAACAAGAGGCACCCTTTGGGGCGTGGAAAGAGCTCACACACTCGGCCCTCATTGCTGATGTCCGAATCATCAAGCACTTCCACTTGCCCAAGGCCAAAATGCAACAGGAACTACAATACTCGAGACATGACCTTGACTACGCGTATCGCCAGAAGGATCACCGAATCACACAATTAAAGAGTAAAGTGGAGTTGGAGATAAATCACAGCTTGAACCACGGCCTCCCACTGACTGCAGATCACATCAATCACACATTACTGCGTGAGGTCTCTGACCTCTTCCCAACAGCTACATCAGCACACACCAATCGAGGCCAAACCAAAGCACAGTGCAAAGCCATCTTTGCTGCGTGGAAAGAGCTGTTGACCCACCCTGACGAAGTAGGTGGCTCGACCATCACACTGCCTGCCCGCGTCTACCACATGTGGCAGAGACGTAGGGATCTTCAGCGATGCAAGCCATTCACCCTGTCAGGAGTGCTTCGCACATGGCAATGGGTGCTCCTCTTCAACAAGGCAGGACGGCAGAGCAAGCAATATCATCTCCAGCATCAACGGGCCATAGCACTGGGGCACTTACAGCAAGCTGAAAGGGCCGCTCAGACGCATAACACGAAGCGTCTCTATGGTGCAGTCAAGCGACTCCTGCCCTGGAAGCCCAAGCCCAGGATCATGCTTAAGCACCCGGATGGATCGCCCATGTCTCTGCACCAGGAACACCAAGCACTTGTCCAACACTGCAAACAACTCTTCGCTCCCCCGGCGGCATCTCCCACTCGACCAGGCCAGATGCTTAGCATGCCTTTGACTGCCTGTGAATGGACGACACAGCTCAAATGTACTCCTATAGGCAAGGCCGTGCCTGCGGACTCCGCTCCGGCCACAGCGTGGAAGGCCTGCGCGACAATTGTGGCGCCAGCCATGGCCTGCATAGCCAAAGGACTTCAGCCGGTAACCTCTGCACTACCTGATGCATGGAAGAACCCTCAGTTGTGTTTCCTTCCCAAACCACATAAGCCTCCATCCACCGCAGCTGCTCTCAGACCTATAGGCCTACTCAGACCGGATGGCAAGGCGTTTGCAGGCCACATCAAAAATCAGCTACTGATGCAGGCCTGCGCCAACCTTACTCATACTCCACAGTATGCATACCTTCCGGCACGGGACACGTCGGATGCGCTGGCAAGGGTCAACGCATGCATACATGACATCAAGGACGGTCTTAAGGCCTTGGGTGGGAATAGGTTCCTGACGAGACAGCGCAAAGAAACTGGACAGGTCAAAGGCGAATCAGGAGGGTGCCTCCTGTCAGTCGACCTCAGCCAAGCTTTTGATCGTGTCAACCGTGCAAAACTAGATAGAGCGTTGGCGCTCCACCAGGTTGATGCTGACCTTAGATCTACCGTCACCGCCATCCACGAGCAGGCTGCTTACCAGGTCAGGGATAAATTTCACCGGACAGACATCTGCACGACGCAAGGAATTCGCCAGGGATGTCGACTAGCACCAGCCCTATGGGCCGTGCTGTCGTCTCAGTTACTCTGGGATCTTACTCCCGCTGGTCAAACGCCGCTGCAGCTTCCATTCACGTTGTTCGCCGATGACCATTTAGGCCATTGGCTTCTCAAAACGGTGGATGATGCCAAGCAAATGGAGGAGACGATAGTGGCACTTTTTCACATGTTGGAAACATACGGGCTCAAGGTTAATCCGGATAAATCCAGTTTGGTCATTCGGGTCCAGGGAGCGCAACTTGAAAAATTTGTCAAAAGCCGCACGGTTATAGTTCGCAACCAGGCGCATTGGAAACTACAAGATGGAGCACAAACACATCTCATACCGATGTGTGAATCCATCACTTACCTTGGCACCAAGCTCACACTGAAAGAGGGCACCGGCCATACACTTGACTTTAGGCTTGCTGAAGCTGAGGCGAAAGTTACGCAACTTCGCAAAAGCATCAGATCACGCAAGGGATTGTCCAGGCACTACAGAGTACGGGTTTGGCAGGCTTGCGTGGTAAACAGTGCGCTTTATGGTCTGCTGACTACTCCTTTCTCTGGCCAAATGATAACTAAGCTGAGGGCGTGGTTTCACCGCCAACTCAGAGCGGTCACAGGCATGCCAGCTCACCTCACAAAGGTGAGTAATCAGACGCTGAGAGAAACCTACAACCTGAAGGATCCTGTACACATGCTGACGGAACGCATTGCGCGCAAACTTGATGCTATGCAACAAGGACGAGGCGATCCTGCCACGTGCGAAACTAAGACCTTTGAGTATTGGCAAATGCTACACAAACAACTTGCCAGCCATGCTGTGGAACAACGCACTGTGACGCTGGTGGAACTCTCCAGCTCTAGCCAACATCCCTGCTCCATATGTGGCCTATACTACCCGACCCAAAAAGCCCTTAGGCAACACCAGGCGCTCAGACACGGACAGATTCAAGCCAACAAACTCAGTATTGACTACAAACCCGAACAACATTCTGTTGCGGGCATGCCACAATGCAAACACTGTCTTCTGAAGCTGTATGACTGGGGTGCATTAAAAGGGCACATCATGCAAAATGTATGCGGTTGGCACACCAAACAGCTCAGCGACTCGAACAACAATAGCCAGCAGGATACGAAGACTGTTAAAGAAACAGGGCCTGTTCCACACAAGATCGACACCCCACATACCCCTGTTGACCCTAAAGAGCGGCAACACGAACCACGGAACACCACGACTGAGGAGAGCACGCTCCTGCAAAACGAAGTGACACTGGCATTGCTTCAAAGTCATGAGGGAATATGCACCCAAGCAGCATTACACAAAACCTACCTCAAACAGCACTGCGGTTTCTGTGGCCGCTGGATCGCTGATGCCGGCATGATTAAAACGCATATCCAGAGAGTGCATACGAATCTTGCACGGCATATCACCTCAGACATACACACTTCATGCCAGGCCTTCAAGCACCTCTTCAAAAGGGACCATACATGTGAGTGGTGTGACAGAATGGTGCACGGCTCAGATCGGCATTGCTCTCAATGCCCAGTTCTTTTTCAGCTGATACTTGCAAGGACCAGCAGACAGGCGGCCTCCGCTTCACCTGAGACCCAGCTCCCTGCAGTATGGCCTGTACCACACCCAGGGATGGACGTTGCGATTTACCTCAAATCACCTACTCAGGATGAGATGCAACTGCACATACAGCACATGTCCATGCTTGCCAAGACACGATGTCTCCTATGCGGTGAACAGGTGCAAGACATCCAACACTGGCGACGACACATGGCGCAGCGGCATGACTCTCAGAAACAGCTTGTCCAGAGTCTAGCTCAATCCGAAACACTGCTACAAGCACACGTTGCGCGACCTTGCTGCTGGTGCAATGTCCACTTCCCAAAGTCTGCTCGAGAACACAGACGAAAGTGCCTCCCTTTGCTGCAGCTCTGCCTGTACCATGACCTCCACGTCAGTGGAGACCACGCCGGAGCAACAGATGGCGGCAGTGTGGGGCCTCAGCTCACCACTGGCGACGACGCCTACACCACAGAGACAAGCGTCCGTCAGACACAGACTGCCGCAAGGGACGCCGCAAAAGTATCGAAAGGGCATGGGCAAGGGCGCAGGCAAGGCAGCTCCCAAGGCAAAACGGGATCGGGACCAGGACGCAGAAGACGAGTTGATGATGGACCTGGAGTCGCTGGACGAGGAGACGGTGAGAACGGCCTTGAAAACCTTGGTCAAAACAGCACTCAGACACGAGCACCAACTGACGATCTTGGAGGCAGACCGGAGCTACGTGTTCTTCCTGGACACGACGAACCACGGAATTGTCTCCATGTTGATCCAGGCCAGCGCAACATGGAACACAAAGTTCGAGGAAGGCACGGTCAACACCTCGCTGAGGGCCACGCTATGGGGAGTACTACTCATGGAATGGAAAGCACGCCTCGAGAAAATCGAGTCCGACGCCAAGGTACTACAGGTAGCAGAAACAGCAGGATGGGCAACGCGGTCTCCGCTCCAGTGGATCTACAACGAGTGGAATCCGGTACAGAAAAAGGCGCTACCATCAAGTCGGGACAACCTCACTCACGAGGACGCAAAAAAGGCAGTCAACCAGCTCATCACAAACACCGCCAAGGACAACACGGTGCACCGATTCCAAAGCCTACGACCACTGAAGCCGGACCTGCAGGCGGAAGTGATCACCATGGTCCTGACACTCACCGTCCATCAACAGGCGGCCGCCGTTTACCACGACCTGGACCTCTTGGCAAACAACTGCGCGGGCAAGCTGATCGGTCTACGCTTGAGACGGGAGCGAGTGGGCAAGACGACGCTCACCAAGGAGCTCGAGAGACTGCAGATCTAAACAGCAAGCAAGAGAAATTCGGGGGAAAGCGGACTCCGCGCCCCATGCTCAGTCAAAAAGAGACTGAGAAGGAGCAACTGCAGACAGGCATCCGCAATTTCTTTTCAGCCCCCGTCCATGCCATGTCAGCGAAAAAACCCCGTAGCACTCTGAATGATCCGGCTTGCACTAAGAACAAGGACAAAGGCAGCATGGATGGGGCTTTGGGGCATTCGGTGAGTGCGACCACTGAACAACCAGTGAAGAGTACACCGAAACAGGGTCAAGTAGGCATCCCGTCAAGGGGGAAACATGGGACTGCGGGCGCGGGGACAAAAGTGGAGGGCTCTTTATTGGCATGGCGCACCCGCGATCGTATAACCAATGAACCTCATGCTAGATCACTCGCACTAACTAATCCACATAACCTTTGCTATGCCAACGCAGTGATTCACATGCTGCACTATGCTCGGTCCCATGATGCTTTTATATCAGGTCTGGGCGAAGTCAATGGGGCCATCGTACAGGCCTCAAGATCCAACCAGCACCTGAATATTGCCAGACACCCGGCATGGAACTTCATATGGCCAGGATGGCAGAAGCCCACGCGACAGCATGACGCAGCTGAGTTTCTGCAGCACCTTTGCAACCGCACGGACTGCGTGGCACTCAAGGGGGGATGGGAAGCTAGACGCCCACAAGCAGGGGTATATGAAATCCTGGATGAGCAGTTCAACTGTCCACACATAAGACTGGTGGTCCAACACCCCTTCAGAATACAGGATGCTGTAACAGCTTGGCATACACAAGACCCGCCACATGCCTTAACTAGACCCCCCGAACTTCTCATCCTCCAGATCGGACGATTTGTCCAGTCAGCCGGAGGCATTAGGAAAACGCGGCAGAGGATTGAAATGCACAAACATCTCACAGTTCCCACCTTCACTGGACATGCCGGTGACGTTGTCAACACCCCGTACAAGCTATGCGGAGGGGTCATGCATATAGGCAAGGTGGTAACGGCCGGGCACTATCAGGCATTCTACTTTCCTGGTGACACTGAGGATATTTGGTCCTGCCACCTCGTACATGACGACGGCCAGGCCGCCACGCCAGGGACGGATGCCACACGACAGGCCATTCTTACAAACTGCTACTTGCTTGCATACCGCATCAATAGCCATGTGTGACTCTACTTGGGAAAGTGGCCTCCACTCCCCACTGGTGTACACAGAACATTCATGATTCTCAAGCTCTCAAACATGAGAGGCTAACTCTCTACACTCAGTACAACAAGGCCTGAGGTCTCCTCGCCTTGTGAGTCGACACTCTGACAAGGAGTGGACATAGGCTGTAGACAAGCTGGCCCTCATGATATCTACTGTACAGTTTTGCTTGTTAGCTTCACTTGTTAGTTCCCAGCTGTGACACCTCAGCTGTCGGGCTCTGAGGAGCACAGCTTTGCGGCTGCCAAAGGCAGTATTTATCTTTCTAGGATTGTACAACTTTGCTGTCGGGCTCCACGGGGCACAGCAGGGTTTATCTGCCTCACACCGGCGAACCCTCCAGCAGAGAGGGGTGACTAGCTCACACTCGCCCGCATGACAACTGCCACAGTTGATGCGAATGAATGAAAAAAAACGATGCTCCGAGCAGAGGACTGGTTGCGGAGACAGCAGCCCTGGTCAAAGGTCGTGAGACTGCATGGCTACTGTACAGATACCCTGCAAACTCCTCAAATAGTTACGGTCACTTTTAAAGGGGGTTATGCGTGTTGGGGCAAATCGGTAACATGCACCTAAACAGCCAGTGCGCATCTCAACGCATACATGCTGGGTGCTCCAACCGAAAACCTTCGAAAGAACTCTTCACTCTTCGAACGCCTCGCTTTTGATTGACCCCTGACCGTGGAAAAAAGAAGGGAGCGTCCTCGTACAGAGTTTATGTGATCTAGATTCTTTATTGAACATAATTTGGAATAGATTGGGAATCATTGTGAAAACTTAAAGACGGCGTCTTCGCGAAGCGACAAAGTTGTCTTTCTGTTTTCATAGCAGCCGCCTTAGCTGAGCAATGATTCCAAAATCTTTCCAAACTTAGTTTCGAACTCCGCACACGTTCATGCCGTTTAAAGGTGCTTCGCAGACCACTGGAGGCACCCTTGTGATCCGGACTGTATGTGTTTGAAATCCCATGTTGCACCTGAACAGGCAGCCAAATGTAGTCTCCCAGCTAGACTACATCTTGAGGCCCCTGAAGTTGGGATATACCGGTGATTTGTAGATTGATGTTGAGAATAATACGCCGCGCCATTCTCTCAGCATGGCTCGTTTCGCACTAGCACACATTGCAGGGCAGTCCATGATGTACGCAGACATGGACAATGCTAGTGCTGAGCTATGCTAAACTTTTTCACCCGCCCTCCCACCCTCGGAGTTTTCTTTACCGATTTGGGGGGGGGGGTTATGCGTGTTGGGGCAAATCGGTAACATGCACCTAAACAGCCAGTGCGCATCTCAACGCATACATGCTGGGTGCTCCAACCGAAAACCTTCGAAAGAACTCTTCACTCTTCGAACGCCTCGCTTTTGATTGACCCCTGACCGTGGAAAAAAGAAGGGAGCGTCCTCGTACAGAGTTTATGTGATCTAGATTCTTTATTGAACATAATTTGGAATAGATTGGGAATCATTGTGAAAACTTAAAGACGGCGTCTTCGCGAAGCGACAAAGTTGTCTTTCTGTTTTCATAGCAGCCGCCTTAGCTGAGCAATGATTCCAAAATCTTTCCAAACTTAGTTTCGAACTCCGCACACGTTCATGCCGTTTAAAGGTGCTTCGCAGACCACTGGAGGCACCCTTGTGATCCGGACTGTATGTGTTTGAAATCCCATGTTGCACCTGAACAGGCAGCCAAATGTAGTCTCCCAGCTAGACTACATCTTGAGGCCCCTGAAGTTGGGATATACCGGTGATTTGTAGATTGATGTTGAGAATAATACGCCGCGCCGTTCTCTCAGCATGGCTCGTTTCGCACTAGCACACATTGCAGGGCAGTCCATGATGTACGCAGACATGGACAATGCTAGTGCTGAGCTATGCTAAACTTTTTCACCCGCCCTCCCACCCTCGGAGTTTTCTTTACCGATTTGGGGGGGGGGGTTATGCGTGTTGGGGCAAATCGGTAACATGCACCTAAACAGCCAGTGCGCATCTCAACGCATACATGCTGGGTGCTCCAACCGAAAACCTTCGAAAGAACTCTTCACTCTTCGAACGCCTCGCTTTTGATTGACCCCTGACCGTGGAAAAAAGAAGGGAGCGTCCTCGTACAGAGTTTATGTGATCTAGATTCTTTATTGAACATAATTTGGAATAGATTGGGAATCATTGTGAAAACTTAAAGACAAAGCTGTATTCTAACCAACATTGGCATCACGCCGTCAATGTTGGCTTCACCAACTGTAGTTCTTGATTGAGCTCTCTAGGTTTGTGGCAACAGGCCTACCGGAACGCTCTGTCAAGCCTGGAGTCAATCTCTCTCTTCAAGACAGAGCTTACTTGTTTTCACTCAGCTCAACACAGTCCTCAGGTTTGCACAGCGAACCCGGACCTGGGACACAGTCCCACTGGCAGCTCTAGCCGTCCTCAAAGCTGACTACCCAGATCCACAATGCAGTTTGGTGCGCAGGGAAAAAGACACCGCCAACGTCTAGCAGTGCGAAACATTGATTAGTTTTCTGCAACCCGCCCTAACTTCAACATAGGGTCGTGGCTGGCCTGAACTATCCTGCAGTAAAACATCCTCTCAGGTGCGGAAGCCGGGATTGCCGCATGCGCGGACACCCCTGGCAGACCGCCAGCGGAGTCCGCGAGGCTCTGCGCAGCGCGCACCCTACACTGTGTTCACAGGGTTGTATTATGGCTGAAACAGAAATTTTTGAAGCAGTATCAAAGCCCTTCATCCCAATCTCCACTCTGTTCACTGTCTCACTCATTCATAGTGCTACTCTGTATCAACTGCGCGTTGGAGTAGCCCCGCAAAGATGCTACGGATAAGCCCACACATTCTTCCGATACACAACCAATTGCGTGAAAGCAACACACAATGGGTTGTGGCTGGCCCGCACAACAACAAAGAGCCTGCTTCATATGGGTGCGGATACCAGAATTGCCGCCTTGGGTGGTTTACCCTGGTAAGCCGCCGTCGGGGTTCGCGAGACCCCGTGCAGCGCATCCCCTCATATTGCAACAATGACAACCGCTACATCAAAGGCCATCAGCACTGCAACTACACATACGAGTGCTTCATCTCCTGAATTCTGCGCTCCAATACAGGAAACTGCTAGACTACCGTGTGCCCCAACGGTCCTAAGTAATCTAATTGGCAGTGAAACCTGTTTTGCACTACTGTCAATAAGAGCATCACCAGTCGCCGTTCACTTGTCGTACATTCCCTCCTCCATCCTACCTAAGTATGAAAGGGCTGTGGCTGGCCTGGAAACAGAAAGCAGGTACGGATGTTCACAGGTGCGGATACCAGCATTGCCACCTTGAGTGGTTTACCCTGGTGAACCGCCTGCGGGGTCCATGAGACTCCGCGCAGCACATCCCTTTCACACTGCTGCACGAGCACAAAAGGCGGCTCTCGCTAGTAGATCCTGCACCCAGAGTGCCTCCCAATCCTAAACACTTGTGACTAACCCTTGGCTCACCAGCTCCGGACCCTGCCAACTGAGCTTGCACCCACAGCAACTGCTTGCTTCAGAAGAGAATCACATCCACACGCTCCTCAATTGCCTTACTGCCTGCCGCCGCTCAGTCTCTACAGAAGTCCTCCCCAGTCCCAAGGTCAACGACTTGCAGCCAAGGTGCAACAGCCTGATACCAGGAGCCTAATCATCAAGTGCCCTTAATCAACTGAACTCCTACGATCCTCTGCCTCTCTGCATAGTGATCCATGTGGGACGCCACTAGATGGACACTAAGGGCGACGGCCAACCGGTACGACCCAATTGCAGATGGGTGCGTGTTTGCTGGACGCAGCGAAACACACTAGGACGACGGGGAGACGCCCTTCTCACACATGACCGCCAGGTAGTTCCTAGTCCTACTCTAGACGGCAAGCAAGTCATCTTGATCCCTAGCCTTGTGCGATTTCACCTTACTTGTACAGTGTCGAATTCAGTTTCACCTCTCCTAAACATTAGCTCCAACCCAATTTTCGGTGCTCAGACGGTGCAAATCGCCCGCAATGAGCAGAGCCCGCTCGCTCAGCGTTCAATAATAAAGTAGTAGTAGTAGTAGTAGTAGTAGTAGTAGTAGTAGTAGTAGTAGTAGTAGTAGTAGTAGTAGTAGTAGTAGTAGTAGTAGTAGTAGTAGTAGTATTAGTAGTAGTAGTAGTAGTAGTAGTAGTAGTAGTAGTAGTAGTAGTAGTAGTAGTAGTAGTAGTAGTAGTAGTAGTAGTAGTAGTAGTAGTAGTTGTAGTTGTAGTTGTAGTTGTAGTTGTAGTTGTAGTAGTAGTAGTAGTAGTAGTAGTAGTAGTAGTAGTAGTAGTAGTAGTAGTAGTAGTAGTAGTAAGTAGTAGTAGTAGTAAGTAGTAGTAGTAAGTAGTACGTAGTAGTAAGTAGTAGTAGTAGTAGTAGTAGTAGTAGTAGTAGTAGTAGTAGTAGTAGTAGTAGTAGTAGTAGTAGTAGTAGTAGTAGTAGTAGTAGTAGTAGCAGCAGCAGTAGCAGTAGTAGTCGAAGTCGTAGTCGCAGTCGCAGCAGGAGTCGCAGTCGTAGTCGTAGTAGTAGCAGTAGCAGTAGCAGGAGCAGTTAGCAGTCAGCAGTTAGCAGTTAGCAGTTAGCAGTTAGCAGTAGCAGTAGCAGTGGCAGTAGCAGCAGCAGTAGCAGTAGCCCTGTTTCTTTTCTTGCTCTCGTACGTTCGTGGCAGAGGTAGCAGCATGGGCCGAGGAGCTTTAGGTTCGTCCATTGCTCCTCAAAGGGATGAGGTAGGTAGCTGCGATGATCGCAGTGCAGTCCCCCCGCGCCCGCTCCATTGCCTAAGAACGTGTTGGGTGTTTTTGCTTGTGTGTTGGTTTGTTAGTCCTTGGCTTGGCGGGCCCAAAGGACGGAGCTGGCAACGGCACGTTTCAATGGGCTTTTAGGCTTTTAGGTAATGGTCAAGGCACGTCCGAAGGGCGGAGCTGGCCACGGCACGGCACGTCGTACGGGCGGGGCAAGCCAAGTAGTAGGCATACAGAAGCCCGAAACTAAGGCTACGTCGGACCTATGGGTAGGTCTACCCTAGGCCTACGGGTAGCCTATGTACAGGCCTACGTAGAGGCTATGCGAGGCTACCTATAGGCCTATCCGTAGGCCTACGAGTGGGCTACTGGTAGGCCTCCCTGTAGGCCTACCAGTCGCCTGTTGACAGGCCTACCAGTAGGGCTGTGGATAGCCTACCGGTAGGCCTACCCGTAGGCCTACGGATAGGCTACAAGCAGGCCTATCCGTAGGGCAAAAGGTAGGCTACCGGCAGGCCTACCCGTAGGCCTATGGGTAGGCTACCGGTAGGGGCCTGCGGGTAGGCTGCCGGTAGGCCTATCCGTAGGCCTACGGGCAGGCTGCCGGCAGGCCTACCCGTAGGCCTACGGGTAGGCTACCGGTAGGCCTACCCGCAGGCCTACGGGTAGGCGACCGGCAGCCCTACCCACAGGCTTATACGTAGTCGAGGCATAGTAGTAGTAGTGATGATCTCGGGGCTGGGGCTCGGGCACAAAAAGGAGGGCCTAAGAGTCCATGCGTGCGTGATTTCTTTTACGGATGCACATGATGTCTCGGGTCGAGAATTTAGGGAGCAGTTTGACGGGTGCTTTCGTGGTTTCTCGAGTCCTGAAGCTCGGTCCAGGGCCTACCCTGGACCGAGCCCCAGGACTCGAGAAATGACGAAAGCACCCGTCAAACTGCTCCCTAAATTCTCGACCCGAGACATCATGTGCATCCGTAAAAGAAATCACGCACGCATGGACTCTTAGGCCCTCCTTTTTGTGCCCGAGCCCCAGCCCCGAGATCATCACTACTACTATGCCTCGACTACGTATAAGCCTGCGGGTAGGGCTGCCGGTCGCCTACCCGTAGGCCTGCGGGTAGGCCTACCGGTAGCCTACCCGTAGGCCTACGGGTAGGCCTGCCGGCAGCCTGCCCGTAGGCCTACGGATAGGCCTACCGGCAGCCTACCCGCAGGCCTACGGGTAGGCCTACCGGTAGCCTACCCATAGGCCTACGGGTAGGCCTGCCGGTAGCCTACCTATAGCCCTACGGATAGGCCTACGCGTAGGCTGCCGCAGACTCTACCGACAGGCCTACGCGTAGCCAGCCGTAGGCCCTACAGCTAGGGCTACGGGTAGCCTATACGTCTGGGCTTCTTGACCGAGGAGGAGGAGGAGGAGGAGGAGGGGGAGGAGGAGGAGTAGTAGTAGTCGTCGTCGTAGTAGTAGTAGTAGGATGATTGTTGAACCTAGACTGCCTTGCGTCCAAGGTTTCCCGGTGAATAAAGCTCGCGCCCCATTTTGCCGTTAGGCAAAAAACCCAAGTTCTGCGCGCGCGGCGTGTTGAGCGCGCAGCATTTTGTGACGGATCCCATTGGGTTCCGTCACAAATTTTAGGGTGTCCATGTTTTGCGCGCACGGCGTGTTGAGCGTGCAACATTTTGTGACAGATCCCACCGGGTTCCGTCACAAATTTTGGCGTCCATGTTCTGGGCACACGGCGTGTTGAGCGCGCAGCATCTTTGTGACGGATCCAGCTGGGTTCCATCACAAATTTTGGCGTCCATGTTCTGTGCACATGGCATGTTGAGCGCGTCACGAAAAATCATTCCTCAAACACGGAGATTTTTGTGATTGGACCCACAGGGCTTCGTCACACTGGCCGTTTTTCACAAACAGGTGTTCTTCTGCAAAGACGTTTTTGTGACAGATTCTGCCCTTTAGGCTTCTCACAGATGATGGCTTATCAGACTTCAGAGCTTTTTGCTGGAAACACGACAGGCTGCTAGGCGGTTTCGCTTCGATATCTGTGAGTGTTCCAGAAATGGTGTTTCCAGAGTACCTTGATTCCTGCGCACTAACACATAGAAGAGCATGCTATTTTGAGCCTTGCTTTTTAGCTGACGTGCGCGCCATTTCCCCGGCTTAGGCCCACACACCACCAGTTCATAAATCCTAAACCATCCTAAACCCTACACAAAACCTTAAACCCTACAAGCTATGTTATACACCTCAGAATTCTATACCCCCTGAATTGCAAAACGCCACGCACGGAATTCAATGGTAAACTCCCCTTCAATTAAGAAGCCCGATCCCGACAGGTGATGTTTTTTGTTAGAGAAGTCGGCTTCCGACCAACGCTAAAGTTTGCAATGAGGGTTTGGAGCCCGAAGGTCTGAAACTTTATACTAAAGACTGCAAGGCCTGAACCAAAAAATGCAAAAAGACTGCGTGGGCGAGAAGCCTAAGCGAGAGACTGCAGGGGCCGGAGACCTAAATTAGAAATTGCAAGGGCCGGAGGCTTAAACTCGAGAGTGCAGTGCCGGAGGCCTAAGGTAAAGACTGCAGGAAGCCAAAATTAAGGACTGCAGGGCCAGAAGCCTAAACGAGATGAAGAGTGTGCGAAGGACTTTGTCAGTATGCACATGCATCGAAGTATGAACTGTCTTGCTCGTGGGCTGTACGCTGGCCAATGTGCGAGAAGTGACCATCTCTGTGTGTTTATTTGAATATCGTTGAACAAATGACAGAAACCATCAGTTCCCACAGCATCCTCTATTTTAGGATTGCGGGCGCCCAGCTTCCCATGCGCTGCTTGTCGCGCAGCATAGAGAAAACCCGTGGAGGCCTCCAAGAGCTCCACCTGTTGGAAACCCGAGTGTGACGGTGCTAGAACGGTTTGGGGAGAGCAGCTGGCTTCGTACAGTGTTACCCTCGCACCTTCGTTTTCCCGTCGAATGTCCTGAACACTGCTGTAGTTTCGTGTCACATGGAGCATGCAACTGGATCATTGTAGATCTCCATTTTTCAATGATTTTGAACACGAAGCTACGACACCCCTCAACATCAACAGCGAAGATCATAATTTCAAAAAGCTAGATTTTGGACGCCGGATCTTCCAACTTTGGTGTTGTCACTCAAGTGGGTCGGGCAGCTTGAGGCCAGGACGTTTTCGGCTTTTGCCGCCATGGTTCGATGCAGAGAGAATGTACGTATGACACCATGTTGCAATGTCCCATTCAAAACAAGCACGAACACAAACCACGCCACATGTCTTGATCAGTTTGAACGTGTTGCGTGCTTTTACAAAAACCGAACCCAGTCCAGAGAGTCATCGCATTGCTGTTCGTGTTCGCGGGGCGTGCCTTTCCGCGCAGCGATGGCAGACTCGGCCCCAGGTGTCAACTGGGCATGACCGATTAAGCATACCGCAGCATTTGACCACCAAAAAAGCTGTAAGCAGGAAGGCCTTCGAAAGCGAGACCAGGGGGTAGAGGTCGTGTCACCTGCCCAAGCAACCGGAACCCCCAAGGAACCCCCAAAGAACCCCCCCAAAGAACCCCTAACAAATACAAAAAAACATCTGAGGCCGGCCCCGGGCCTGTTCCGGTGGAGGTGGACGACCTCCCAGAAGGCCCGCTTCGGCATCCTTTTTCGCACTGGGACCCCAGATGCTCTGGGCATTCGCTTGTGGTCGGGCGTAGGGTTTGGGGAGAAATGCAGCTGTTTGCGGCACGCTACACGAGAGATTTGCAATTCTTGCTGGCGGGATGCGTTTTTAGCAAAAGGTGTTGCGTGTCAGCTACAAACGCCTGTCGAACAGAGAGCTCCTGCCTTTTTGATGCCCAGAATTCGAAGACGTGCAGAAACCAAAAAGCCGTTTCCCAAACTTTATCCCAATCATGCCTTGCTGTGAGAGGTTGGGAGGCCTTTGCCACCAATGATGGCCAGACCTACTTTTGTTTCCCCCAGGCCTGCTGCCCACGTCTTGGTCTTTGTTTGTCTAGTGTTTATCTCAAGCAAGTAGCATGGGCAGGTCTATTACTACTGCAGGGCCTTGGAGAAGGTGCGTCGTCTGATGGCAGCGCGTGCGTCTTGGGATGCTTTTCGAAGCAATCGGCCCTGGCAGGTCCAGTGGCAGCGGCCCAATGCAGAGGATGCCCAAGAGCCATTCGTGCCTCAACTTTTCTAATGACGGAATCCTGCGTCGAGTAGGTAGCTGAATCGCAGCACGTGCATGCAAGGTTGGGGAAACGATCCATGGTCGGACGCCATACCGGAAAGGTGATGAGCCTGGGTCTTGGTGACATTTTTTCATTTGACATCCAGCATGTTGCTGGATCCCTGTCACATGTCCAGTCTGTTTCAGCAAGAGCATTTTCCTGCAGGGCAACACAGCATGTCACTGGCCACCTGCCTCTTTTTGGGTGATATTTTCGCTGTGCATTCTCAAATTCCTCAACGACTTGAGAGAATCACTTGCAGCATGTCCCTGCTGCTGCAAGCAATTCGTAGTTCAGCTTCGTCAGGCCTCACAACGTCAAAATTGACTTCTTCATGCCAATATGTCATCTTCTACAAGTTTCAATACGTAATAGTTTCCGGCGAGAGAGCATTCGATATGTCAGTGTCAGACAAGGAGAGTGTTTGTGTATATCCAGCATATCCGCGTCCGTATCTTTGTAGGTATGTTTGTATGTCTGCATGTACGTATGTCAAAAACATATACATATGATGTTTGCTGGAATCTCTCTGAATTCTGAGGTTCATCCCGGATCCGCCTCCTCCAAAGCCGCGTGCTGCTCAGATTCTAAGGGCCTGGCTGACAAAGTGCTCCGAAGTAGATACCTGTGAGATGTAGGTATGACGGACCACTCGCAGACCAAAACTACAAGGTGTCTGCCATACTGAACTTGTGACATGTTGTATGTTTTCTCGGCACGGAGAGCTTCCTTTCGCTGCTGCCATTTCTGCATCAACTTGTATCCCTCTGTGCACGCTTTTTCCGTGAGAGGCCTCGAACGAAGACCCGGAGGACGTGTTTCAGCCTGACGAGGACATGTTGGAGGTGAAGCCGTGAAGCCCTAAACCCCTGCGCCGCCGAGAGCTAGCTTGGGCTTTCCCAGAATTTGCGAGGCATGCCTTGAGTGCGACATCAACAAGCTCAAAGCTGCGCTCGAGGATGGCGCCCCCGGCAGAGTGTTCCGAGCCTCTGAAGGGTGTCAAGGGTGTCCAGGGTGTCAAGGGTGTCAAGGGTGTCGGGGAAGCCGCAAGAGTTCGTAGCTGAAGTGAGGAGGGCACTATAAAGGTTTCTCAGCGTGGTCGCAGGCAGATCTTTGGCAATCTTTTCGTCTCAGAGATTTCGATCTGCAGCGAGTTTTCCCAACTGGGTATCAACGAAGAAAGTTTGTCAGCTGTCTGCCAGGTGCTGATGTCTCTCTGCCCAACCAGCCGTGGCAGCCGCATGGCTTCGAGGGTACAGGGAAGCCGAGGGTGGCTGCATATCTTAGGAGGTCCGAGATTCCCTTTCGCTTCGTTAGCAGTGACCCCCGGCTTCCAACAGAAGAAGCTTAAGAAACTCGGCAGGTCCCCCCCAGAAGGTCTTTGGAAGCTTTCAGTCGCTGAGGAACACACCGCTCCACCTAGCGAACTGCCCGTGCCCTCTGCAGTGTTGAAATGGTTCGTAGTAAGCTTCCTCAAGCTTCCACATGAGCAGAACTAAATCAGGTACTTCTGGGACGCAGACTTGATGGCCAGAGAGAAGGACCCGATCGTCAGTGGCCACCGTTGTCAGAATTGTTGCAGCTGTTGGGCTTAGGGGATGTTTAGGGGGATCCCAAAATTAAGGCGAGGCAGGATTCCCGCCGTGTGCGCCAGACTGCGTCAGGCTCTGCGATATGAGATGGCAGAGTACCTGGTGTCCGGTGCTCGGATGTGCTCGGCTGTGCTCGGATGTGCTGCTCGGGCCTCAGCCTGATGGGTGCAAGGCGCCAGGGGGCCGACATCGACGCCGAGAACATCTTCCGCTGCATGGCCCTCAAGAAAACTTGGGGATCCTCTGCTCAGCCCTTGAGCCGAGCCTACTGTTTCTGAACCCATATTCCAGGCAAACCCATCGATTTGGCCATCTTCCATGGCTACGAGGCTCAGAGCCCTTCGCATCTTGTTCCCAGCTGAATCCTAAACGTCAAGCGAGCTCCACATTCTGAGATTGTCTCTAGTTTGCCCTGATTTCCTTGGGTCCAGGGCACCGTGAAGCTGCTCCAGTCTGAAGGAGGGAAGCCCGGGATGTTTGGACGCCTGGCGCAGCAGACGCAGAATAATCAACGGGCTTAAGGGTCAGGTTTGGCTCAGGTTACCGGGCCTGTGCTAACCTGGAGCTCAGTGAAGCCGAGGAGCGGCCTATCTGGGTGATCTGGAGCGCATCAAGGAGCAGCTTCAGCTCTTCCGGTGTTCTTTTTGGTGCGCTTCGAACCTGATCCTCACCTTCAAAGGAGCTCCTTGAGGAGGGAGTTGACATCGACCTCAAGGGACGCTACAGGCGAAAGCATGATGGGCAAATTCTGATGGCGTTGTAAGGTGTTGGCTTCTCTTGGCAGACTTCGCCGAAAGTGCAGCTGGTCATCGAACATGCATGTCTTTAGTGACGGTAGTGCATATAGACTGCAGATCTGCTCGTCTTCCCGTTTCTTGTCTGCCAGCTTCCAGAATCGATTGCAGCAGTGACGAAGTCACACTGTTGCCCACTTTCCCGAGACCCAAAAACACCAGAAGTGGCTATTCCCGCAAGGGCAGAGCATGATGCGGCTGCTTTTCAGCTTTGGTTTGGCTCGGAGGGTACAGGGATTGACGACTTTGTGGTTCCACTTTCCGAAAGCTGCAAGCCTGAGAGCCCTTGAAGCGCCGTCTGAGCTTTCGATCCAACAGGCGCACGGCCTTTGCCGAAGCCCATCTGCGTGGCCACTTTGCAGCCTGGCCCCCGGGCTGCGAAGCCGCGAGCGCTTCTTTGAAGGAGCCTCCAGCTGTGGAGGGTTTTGGGCAAGATGACTTCGGGCAGTTGGGCGCACTGATAGGCTTTGAGGAGCATGCGCTATCATGCGCTTAGCGGTCTGCACCTCTCGAGGTCGAGGCCTTCCTAGTGCAGCAGGGCTGCAGCCGCGAGATCCCGTGGCTCGGAAGAATTCGAAGAGCTCTGCTTTGCCTTGTCTGGGGGAAATGGGGGGGATGGGGGGGATGGGCTTAGGCACCCCGAGCATTTGAAGCGCTGGCCTGAGAAATGCAGAACAGCGCAGAGGTGCACCGTGCAGCTTCCGAATGAAGTGTGATTGTGTGATGTTTAGACTCGAGGTTCAATCCCGGTGGTGCGGCCATCCCGCGGGGTGGTGTGGCGCGCGGCTCAGATTCGGATCCCGACTTGCTAACTCTATGACACTCTATGAGTCCATATTCGGCCCAGAGTTGGTCCCCATTTATTCCTTGGCTTTGCGAGGTGCCCAAGCGGGAGAAGCAGTACACTCGCGAAGAGGACAGCCAGAGCTCCTTGCTGCGGTCAATCCTACCATGTGAAAGTGCTGGCGCCTGGTTGCTGTTTTGCGAGTTTGCGTCGTGACAGCGCCGTGAGGATGCAGAGTGGTACGACGACATGATGGAGAAGCGCGAGCCCCAATCTGCAAATGCTCTACAAATGCTTCAAAAGCAATTGCAGCGGCCTTCGCGCAACACACTTTTTCGCACTTTGTGCTCTCTGGCCTTCAGTGCTCGATTGCTATTTTTCTACGCGATTGTTGGACATGTTTCACGATCAGGCGCTACCCTGGATACATGGAGAAGTTCATGAAAGCTGGCAAGTGATGCAAGTACATGCAACAGACGATAGAAAGGGATCAAAGCGTATCATCTCTTCGGTTTCAGACGCAGCTCCTGCCATGAAAAAGTGTCGCATAACGTGCCTCACAAGCTTCGCTTTCGCATCTACCGCAGCTGCAGGAAGCACCGGCTGACACATGCAGACGGGACGGGTGCATTTCCACGGCGTGGTTACCAAGAGTGGACCAGTGACTTGGGATTGGAAGGGCTCGGGGGCTCCTTTCCATTCAGCCTTCTTGATCCCGGCTCGAGCATCCGACGATGCATCGTTTGCAGAAGCCGAAGCCCTGCAAATCCGGCGGACACCCGCCCAGGCGCAACACGTAGTGCTCTTCGAACCGAACTTGTGTGCTTACTTCGCGTGGCTACTCGCATGGAGGTGACCAGGGCTTTGGCTCCATGCTGCTTCTCCTGGAGACCCCGGCGGGGTTCGGGCGCCAAGCCGAAGCCGAACAGTTGCGAGCAAATTTGAGGCATTCGGGGATTCTGACGCACACGGTCGGCTCCCAGGTATGCCCTCTTCTCCCTGAAGAACAAGAAGCTTCTCAAGGCAGAGCCTGCCCAGATCATCCCAGCGCGGTGTCAAGTACTTTCAGAGTTATGTGGGTGTTGATCTAAGGGTCCTTGTAAGGATAATGTGAGGAATCCACATTTCCACGTGACATGTATGCAGCCGCGAAGATCCGTGAACCGGCGTGTGAAAGGATGCTTTCTTCGCGACAGTTTGGAAGACTGTTCCAGGAAGTTCGTGCTTCTGGAAGCTTATATATTCCAAAAAGACTGGCGAAGCCCCGCGAAAGTCGCCCATCAAAGAACTTGTTATTTGTGCCAAGTGTGCGGCAGTGCGCCATCACAAAATATCACCAAACCCGGTCTGCCGCACTGACCCAAAGCAAAACACCTACTCGGATCCGCCAGGCAGACCCCGAGTCGATCTACGACTCTTTCAAGACCAGCGCAGATGCGCAGCAGCTTGGACAGGGCAATTGTCATCTTCGGAGGGTTTTTGCATCACAGAGCCAAGGCTTCAGTAAGTGTTCAAGCATTTTCAACCTCCCAGTGCCTTGCGCGCAGACCCTCCAGTCACAACTCTGAGGCGGCAAGTGGGTCTCACCGCCTTCCATAAGTTCGAGGACACCAAAGCGGCCATGGAGGTCCAGTGGTGTTCGTGGTTTTTCTTTTGGGCGTCTTGGCTTCAGGCCTTTGATGCTTGAGGGTGTCGTGCCACTTGACGAGCATTGAATATTGTGGGTCTGTCACGGGTGCACATCTCGCTGCAGAGATTGCACGTCACACGTTCTGCCAAATTCCAGGGTGTAGAACTGCTGCAGAGCATTGGGTTTCACTTGTTTCCTGCACGATTCAGCTTCCAACATGGAGCTCCGACCCAAGCTTCTGATTGATTTCAGGCGTGCACCGAGCTGACGGAGGGCACTGTTGGGAAGAGTCTCAAGAAGTTTCTGAAAAAGCGACGGCCTTGAAAGGATGAGGCTACGTCGGGATGTTAGCCATTAGCTGTGAATAGTTTCCCAGGAACGTTGTGGATGCGGGGCTCACCGAGAACTTGGCCGTTCCGTTCTCAGTACGTTCCTGTCTGGGTCGAATCATGTGGTGAAGTCCCGGTGAGTCTGCTTGACATACCTTGAAATTCCCTTGGCCTGGTGGGGCTGGCCCTCTGCTTCGCCCTCGAGGTGCTGGACAAGGCGCTCGGTGTGAACATCAACAAGAAGCTTGGTGTGGAGGCGCTGGGCGGCGCTCAAGCGATGCATCGAAGTGAAAGCGGGCTTGAGCCCACGAAGCGAGAGTCAGGATTATGCCGATGCAGGTGAGCGTGCTCAGTGAGAACCTGAAGGAGATTATGCGCGGCGTGCGCTTGCACTTGCCCGGCTCTCAGACTTTCGGTTGTCAAAAGTCCCTACTTGGCATTCAAAGGCCCTCCTCCCAGACGTTGGAATGCATGTTTCTCGAAACCCTGCGCAAGTGCCTGCGGCACTCATGAGAATGACCGTGCGTGCGACAGGACTGAGCTGATCGAAGGCCTCGATGAGCAGGAGGTACGCCTGTTCTGGGGCTAGGGTCCGGCAAGCTCCCTGGATCCTGAACTATGCTCGAAAAGTGCTACCACTGGCAGGTGAAGACCATGTCCCTGGGCTTGGCCCACACACTGCACCTCAGCTGAATGGGCCAAGATGAGCTCAACATTTTCCAGGTCTTCAGGGTTTAGGGTCGGCGGCGTCTTGCGGGTTCGGGTTTATGGATTCGGTTGCCTGCTGTGCGGGTAGAGAGGGATTCAAAGCGTGGGCTTTCGGGCTGGTGTTGGTCAAGCCCAAACGTCCAAAACCGAGAAGCCTTCTTGAATCTCTGAGCCCAAACGCCCAAAACCTCTCAACAAGACAAGCTGAAACCAGAGAGGTCCCGGTTCAAGCTCAAGTTCTCGCCGGACAAGGTGGACACCATGATCATCCAGGCGTGCCTGGCAGGTTTGTTGCAGGTTTGCCATGTTAGGAAAGATGTCTTATAGGAGTCGAAAGCCGTTTTTTTTTGCAGGGTTTCCTGAGTTTCAATGCTCGTTTTTTGGAGGGTTTTCTGAGTCTGAAGGCTCGTCATGGCCTGTGTCCTTGCGAGCAGGCCGTGGGTTTGTTGGACGACCTGGATAAGGAGTTGAACAACTTTGCCATGCGACTAAGAGAGTGGCACCTTGGCACGCTTCGAGCCTCATCTTGCCTGAGCGCCATAGAATTCCCAATCCTTCTCCCTGCTCGCTGTTTTGGGTCTGAGCCACCCTTGGGTTTCCGGAAGCCGAGGTATGGATGGCACTTCCCAGAGATGGGAAAGATTGTGACGGAGAACCTTGCATATGCAAAGGCGCGCAGCGCTTTGAAGATTTGAAGGCTCAGAGTTCAACCTCATGGTATGATGTGGTGCGGCCACAGTGTGGCCGGCCCTTGACAGAAAAAATGCTACAGATTCATGTCATCATGGTGTCCTCTTCACTTCGGAGGTCTTTCCCCAAATTCCCAAGGGCAAAGGCTACAAGAGGAAGAGCCCCCCAATCGGTCGTTCCGATTGCGGGTGGCATTCCCATTATGACTGATAGTGCAGACCCGTCCAGCAAGTTTGTTGTTCCCCCAACACTCAGCTTTCGGAACCCCCAAATGAGCAGGTGGTGCGTCTCATGGGTCTGAAGACTCGGGCGAAGGACTCTTTGGTGTGTTGGAGTTTTGGGGGGCCAAGAAGGGGTAGGCTGCAAGATTTCTCGCTGACACGCATGTTTGGGCTTGGTGTTGCGCTGCCAGGATGTTATGTGGATTTGGGTTTTAGCTTTGCATTGCACGGGTTTCAGGGGTTTAAGCCAGATTTGGGGTCTAGAGTCTTCCGAATCTAGGAAAGCTTGGGTTAAGGGTTTGGGTTTAGGAGCGACTGCTTTTGTCTGGTGGGGTCGAGGACACGGACTTGTCGGAGGTCGGAGTCCCCGATGAGATTGCGGCGGAGGTCAGCACCCGCACACCGGAGCTTCGAGTACCATGTAGAAAGACTTGTCACGACTTCGAGTATGAGCGTCTCTGCATTGGCTTTGATCTGTCCGATGTAGTCAGCAGATTCTGTGAACGCGCCTGTGTTGCTTTTACTGTCGGAAACACCCGAAAGCCTCAAAACCCTCAACTGCGCGATTGGAGGTCAGATCTGCGGCGGAGACCTCGATGGCCCGCCCGCTTGCATTGGGGCGGTTGGATCGGTTTTTGGGGGGTCGCATTCGAGTTGCAGAGTCCAGACAATTCAACAACCCTAAAAGCCCTTCAAGGTTCCAGGACATAGAGTAGGAGCCCGCTGGCAGGGCACAGAGATCACGGACGAGGATCTCGTGCGGCCCTTACGGAAGTGCCGAGTTGCAGAACTGGTGGGGGGCTTTGCGGGGGTTGGATCTTCATGAGGATCTTCCTTCCAGTTGTCAATCCTCAAGCTGGCAGGGCAACATCAAGACTCTCAGCGAGCGGGTGATCGAGCTGACAGAATATCGGGCCTCTCTCTCCGAGTACCTGAAGGCAGCTGCCAAGCTCCTACGTCCCATGATACCATGCCTCTCCCATGTCCCATGGCTTCCCTCGCCCAGCTGCGGATGAACGCCATCGCCCCGAACCTCACTTTCATGGTCGGGGAGCTCGTGGGCGCGCGGCTCATCTCCCAAGCCGGGCTCGGGAGCCCAGATGAGCCCAGAGTGGACCATCGCAGATTGCAAGATTGAAGCCGGTTTGGAGCCCAGGCAGTCCCAAGCCTCTACAGCAGCTTTCTGTGACAAATTCTGTCCCTACAGTCGCTACCACCCTGCCAAACCGATGTGCAGTCGAGGTCGTTGATGAGCTTGGCAAAGCACCCATCCAGCACAGTGCAAATTCTTGGTGCTGAGAAGGTTGGGATCTCGGCTTGAGGAATGAGATGAGCCATGTCAACATCTCCAAGAGGGGTACGTATAGGAACGAGTTATGTAGGTTGACAATGCCAATGTGACAAATTGTGACAAGTAATTCCTACCCGTTCTTCCTCACTCTCGGTGAGGGATGTTGCATGAGCCCCCAAGTCATTCAGAGGATTCTCTGCGGTAGAGCATCACCGCCAAAAAGTCCCGCAGAGCATCCTGCGGAGTCTGTTTAATCTCACGATCCTCTAGGCTTGAGTTTGATCGACAGCTCTCTGCTGTAGGCGCTCTTCAGGGCCCTGAAGACCAAGAAGAGCACGCCGAAGTGCGCTTCGAGATCCGCGAGCAAGATCTGCGAGAGCGATCTGCGAGGAAAAGGGGCCCGCTGTGCCTCCGAAACCTGAGCTGAGCTCCAGTCCAGGTACGGGCTGATCTACCACGCCTCTCTGGTGGGGCAGTCTGCGCCCGCGTTGAAGGCGCGGACGGTGAGCCAGCGGCGTTGTTTTTGTGGCGTAGGAGTTGCCACCGCAGCAGCGGCAGTTCTCTTCTCTTGATTCTTTCTCAACACTTTGAAATGGTTTGAAATGGTGTTGCTATGGTTGCTATGGTTGCTTCTGGCCAAGGGCAAAATCTCCCGGGTCTTGGCCGCCAAGCTCTCGCTATGCTGCCGCGTCGATGCGCTGGGGGATCAGGCCGACGGGCCCAACTCAGTGGACGGAGCAGATTCATGATGATTCATGTAGCAATTTGCGCCCTTTCCTTGGACCACTGGATTTTCCCGTTAAGCCCTTCCAACCAGGTGGAGCCAACTCTTGGGCAGGACGGAACGCCTGAAAGCCAAAAGCCCAAAGCCCATCTTGGCCCATCTAAGCCTCAAGCGGCTTTCCCAGAAACTGCACAGGAGTTCAAGGAATATGTGGAGAAGCGCCTTGCCACACTCGAGGACATCTTGCACCTGCCATTTTACCTTGTTGCTTCTGACGCCGATCTCTGCCAACAGGAGGGAGGCATGAAGTCCCAGACCAAGGGCATCAGCAGGCGCAGGGTTTGCGTTCCCCTTGGTGGAGACAAGCTTCGGCCCGCCAACACCACTGGAATCCCCTTATTCTAAAGACTCTACAGCTTCAAACAGGGTCCCCAAAACTCTCTCAGTAGGCTCGGCTTCTTTGCCAACGCAAAGAGGCTAGCACACCCCATCGCCACAGATGTCAGGCCCAATGTCGGCAAGCATCAGAAGAGGCATGGGGTTCAGTGGACTTGGACACTGTCAGTGTGCTCGTAGCTTTGTGCGCTACGATCACGTGGATGTACCTTGCCTACCAACTGTCCCAGCTCTCTAGAATCCGAGTCTCAGATGTTATGTATGTATGTATATTTATCTATATATGTATATATATATATGTATTTGCAGGCCCACACTCCCGAAAGCATGTGCGAAGCCTTCAAGGGTAAGAAGTTGGGGCTGGCAGGCCTGCGGTCAAGGGCAGTGCCACTGCCTACAGCGCGGAGGACGACGTTGTGGAGGATTGGGCTGCATCTTTGAGGGGGTTCTGGGGGCTTGGGGTCTTCACTCGGGGCTTTTAAGGTAAACCGCTCATTGCTCCTGAATGCAAGATCCGTGGTGGAGGGAAGGTACTTGTGGTTGTGGGGGGGGGGTGGCAGGATGTGGAAGGGGTTAGGGGGGGTTGAGTCTTCGGGTGAGGGTCTTATCAAGTCTTCACGGCCCTGCAGTTCCAGCGATATCTTTTAGAGCCGTAGAAGTTTAAGCTTCCCTAGCCGGCCCAAACCGCCTTCTCATCCTGCATTGCAGGAGGCGCCCAAGCGCAAGAAGAAGGCGGCTGAGGTGGGCTTCTTGTCTTGGTGGCCTCCTTTAGGCTCTTTCTTTGTGAGGGTGTGATGGGGATGAGACATGAGAACCCTCCATTTTGCAGGGGTGTTAACGGGTTGGAGCATGTACGGACTTACTGAGCTTTTGGGACACAAAGTGCCCATTGCCAGGCGGAAGAAGCCGAATCAGTTCGCTTCTCAAGAGAGTCTGCAGTGGCCCAGTGGTAGGCTCGTGGTTTTCTGGTTCGGGGGTGTGGAACCGCAGATCGCGCGCTGAATATCTCTTGCGGCTTGTCACCCCACAGCCAAAGATGCCATAATCTCCTAGGGAGGCAGAATAGGGGTGCGCTTGTTGAGAAGCTCGCCCACGCCAAGGCGCCGAGGAAGAAAAAGAAGAAGGCACCGGAGCCGGAGGAGGCCAGCTCGAGACGCGATTACGCGATCGTTCCAAAATGGATAAATTTGGTTTGGGTCCAATTCCTAAGGGTGCCTCTTCTTCTTCTTTTTCTTCTTCTTATCATTATCATTTTGTATTTAACATTTTTATCTTGCCATTTCCTCCTTGTTGTTACTATTATCATTATTATTAGTATTTTGTATATTTTCTCTCTCAAGCAGTTGAAAGTTCCAAGAGCTGAGGCCGAGGCCGAAGAGGAGGAGGCGGAGGAGGCAGGGAGCCAAGCAAAGCCAAACAACACTTTCCCCGTGCGCTTTGAAGGCCCCCAGGAAGAAGAAGAAGCGGGCGGCCTAGGGGGCCCCCTTAGGGGCCCAGCCGAGCTGAGCCATGAGCCTCGGCTTGACGATGGAGAGGGGCCATCCTGAACTGAACTCTGAAAAGCACTCCGAAGCCTCCATCTACCTGAGCGCTGGGGCTTCTCTGTGTTCTTTACGTGTGTACGGAGATCTGCATATTGGATATGAAGCTAAAGACAGCGTAACTATGCATGCATGTACACACATTTTTGTATGCATATGCGTACGCCACGCGCCCACGCACGCGCAGATTGACGCACACACTCATCTCGCGTCTTTCCACTCCGCAACCACGAACAGGATTGCAGCTCAGCTTGTTTGAAAGTGAAAATCTTACACCTTTAAGACCTGTTCTTGCCAAGCCCAGAAGCTCTGCGGCCTGGCTTTTATGCAGGTACGTTGTCGATTTCAACTGGGCTTTTAACCATGCGTTGATGTTGCGGGTCGAGAAGATCGAGGCTGATCGCTTCCTCCGCATCTCCCTCTGCATCAATCGCCGTCGTAAGATTTTCTTCTGCGCTTGCCGCACTAGAAAAAGAACGTAGCGGTTGCATACGACCTGTGAGCGGGAAGGCTTGGCAATTTCGGGCATGCGTGACTTGCTCTGTTTTCCCCTTTCCTTTGGGTGACGGGTTCTGGCCTGCTTTTGGTCTTTCGTTTTCAGCCTGGAGTGCTTTTAGCTTGGCCACTGAACGTTAGAAAGGCTCAAGGGTTCCAGAACACTATGTGTTGTACCACATCTTGAGGTCAACTGGTGGGTGTGCGTGCCAACAAATGAAGGGCGCGTACGCGCGCACGCGCACGCGCACGCCACACGCAGAGGCTTGATGGCCTTCTGGCTGCCTCCAACACTGTTTTGGAATACGTATTCCCTTCGTTTCAGCTGCCTTTCAACTAGAGCCTGCAGCCGTAGATTGTTAAAGCTGTACATGGAGGCTTGTGACACCAAGTTCAGGTTGGTTCCCGAGTTTAGACAGCCAGTTTCACCCCGTCAGTGTTACCCAGCAGTGGCTGGCCAACCGTTCTGTACATACTGTTCGGGCATTGACGCGGTCCATGAGTAGCCGCTTGCATGGCTGGATGAGGGGGTTTGCTGAGGGGCTCCTGTGCTGAAAGGGTGTGGAGCGTTCATCCTTCACTTCGCCCACGTTTTGTTGAGGTTCTTTGAGCGGCTCATGGTTCGGAGCAATGCCCAGCTGTTATGAACGGTTGGCAGATTCCACAAAAAGCAGCCATGGCTGGATGCGCAAAGCAAAAACATTGGCTCCACAAGTTTGTTCTGTGGAGCCCCCCTGTCATGGTGTCCGCATGTCGCTGTTTCCGTCCAGATTTACGTACTAATTTCGTGCTTTCATTCCATGTCATTACAAATTAGTACTTTGTAAGGGCTTTTGGTATTCCCTGGCAGTTAAGGTCTTCTGGAAAGGTTAGACAAGGACTTAAGGTGTCATGAGATTGATGGTGTACGAAAGGAATGGGGAAAAGAGGTTATGACTGCCTGGTTGGGACACTAATTCACATGGACTGGTTGTAATGGTTGATCTGGGGCTGAGTCTTAATGTCTTGAGTTACTAACCGGCTTAGAGACCAGTCCAACCGCAGCACCCATCACACCTTGAGACCCTATCATTCTCTAGTTCACCCATGAATCCTCTATTAGTACTGATATCCTGTTCTAGAGACCGTACCAACCAGGATAGTTCCTCGAGGCAGTAACAACCATTAATACCATGAATCCGCCCTTGAGACCCTGTTAACGCCTGGTCTAAGAACCCAACAGTACCACCATAATGACCGTGACATCTAAACCTCTCGAAAACCATCCCAACAGACGTACACCCTCCACACTAGGCAAACATTATTTAATGGCTACCGCCAGTGCCGCCGACCCCACCCCCCGCCATTTTAGGGTGCCTCAGGGCTTAGGGAGTTTCTTGGGTGGCTTCGGCTTGGGCAGCTTGGGGTAGTTGGAGGATTTGGGCGCCCTTTGCAGGGATGACGCTATGAGGGTTTAGGGTTTAGGGCTAGTTCGCAGCCTTTTGGGAGAGGGGGGGGCCTTCACACTGGTGGCGGGCGGTGCGGATGGCGGCTCGTCAGCGTGGGTGGCTCAGGGGGCGGGTGGCTTGGGGCGGTCTTGGTGGTTCGGGTCATGTGGGTGGTTGGGGTGATGTGGGGTTCGGGTGGTGTGGGTGTTTGGCGGCATGGCTTCGTTCATGTACAGACTGTACAGCCTCAGAGTGTCCTACTGTGCATACCTAGGCTGGGCACTCTGATAGGATTCCTGACCCTTGAGGCGGCTGCGGGCAAGTGAGCGAGGAAAGAAAAATACAAATTTGTTAAGTTTACCTGTAACTCCGTATCAGTTTTGTGGGGCCCCTGCAGGGTCCCAGGAAGGGACCAAGCAGGGCAGCCCCCCCAACTAGAAAAACCTAGATGAATTTAGAATCTGTCCCCATGTGCTTGCATAAAGGCCCACGGGAGGGGGACCCAAGGACCCCCCGGGGCAACCGGCACCCCGAGAACCAACGCGGATCCTGCAAAAACAGGGCGACCGACCCAAGGACCGGCGGAGGGTGGGAGAAGCGGGCGACCGACCCAAAGACCGGCGGAGGAGGAAGTTTTAAAACTTGCGTTTTGCGTTGTTCTATACGTCCTGTTGAGTCGGGCCTTTTTTGCTTTGTTCTAAGCGTCAAAGTGGGCAGATTCCAAATTCCACCGAATCCCGGTGCCCTATGCTCCCTTAGAAGGGCCCCCATGGCTCAAATCCTTCGGCTAATCCAGGGCATTTAGCCTTGCGAGCAGCACAACGGCAAAGTTTGGATTGCGAGCCAGGGGTCGGTCAGAAGAGCGTTTGGAAGCGAGGCTTCAAACGGCGCGCGAGGTTCACGAAGCGGGTTGGTTGGGGTCACACGCCCGACATGACGAACACCTCAAAAACATAGGCAAACGATGGAGCAAAGACAACAGAAACGAAGAAGCACGCAAAGAACAATGAAATCAGAAATACAAGCAAAATAGGTCACGGAGTTTCTCTCCTACTCAGGCAGAACAAATTAAAAGGAGAACAGCTCAAAAACATAGGCAAATGCTATGCCAAAAAACACGAACAAGCATGCAAACAGCAATGCAAACGGAAATAAAAGCAACGTAGGTGACGGAGTTCTTTCTCCCACCCAGGCATAGGACAAAAGAAGAACACCTCAAAAACACAGGCAAATGCTTGATCAAAACCCAGAGAAACGACAAAGGACGCAAAGAATGAAAACGGAAATAAATCCAAGGTAGCGGACGGAGTTTTACCTCCTGCCCAGGCATAGGAGAAAAGAGGAACGCCTCAAAAAGAGAGGCAAATGCTGGATCAAAAGCAACACAAACGCAGAAGGAGGCAAAGAGCAATGAAATCAGAAATACAAGCAAAATAGGTCACGGAGTTTCTCTCCTACTCAGGCAGAACAAATGACAAGGAGAACAGCTCAAAAACACAGGCAAATGCTATGCCAAAAATCACGAACAAGCATGCAAACAGCAATGCAAACGGAAATACAAGCAATGTAGGTGACGGAGTTCTATCTCCCGCCCAGGCATAGGACAAAAGAAGAACACCTCAAAAACACAGGCAAATGCTTGATCAAAACCCAGAGAAACGACAAAGGACGCAAAGAACAATGAAAACGGAAATAAAACCAAGGTAGCGGACGGAGTTTTACCTCCTGCCCAGGCATAGGAGAAAAGAGGAACACCTCAAAAAGAGAGGCAAAGGCTGGATCAAAAGCAACACAAACGCAGAAGGAGGCAAAGAGCAATGAAATCAGAAATACAAGCAAAATAGGTCACGGAGTTTCTCTCCTACTCAGGCAGAACAAATGACAAGGAGAACAGCTCAAAAACACAGGCAAATGCTATGCCAAAAATCACGAACAAGCATGCAAACAGCAATGCAAACGGAAATAAAAGCAATGTAGGTGACGGAGTTCTATCTCCCGCCCAGGCATAGGACAAAAGAAGAACACCTCAAAAACACAGGCAAACGCTTGATCAAAACCCAGAGAAACGACAAAGGACGCAAAGAATGAAAACGGAAATAAAACCAAGGTAGCGGACGGAGTTTTACCTCCTGCCCAGGCATAGGAGAAAAGAGGAACACCTCAAAAAGAGAGGCAAATGCTGGATCAAAAGCAACACAAACGCAGAAGGAGGCAAAGAGCAATGAAATCAGAAAGAAATACAAGCAAAATAGGTCACGGAGTTTCTCTCCTACTCAGGCAGAACAAATTAAAAGGAGAACAGCCCAAAAACATAGGCAAATGCTATGCCAAAAAACACGAACAAGCATGCAAACAGCAATGCAAACGGAAATAAAAGCAATGTAGGTGACGGAGTTCTATCTCCCACCCAGGCATAGGACAAAAGAAGAACACCTCAAAAACACGGGCAAATGCTTGATCAAAACCCAGAGAAACGACAAAGGACGCAAAGAACAATGAAAACGGACATAAAACCAAAGTAGCGGACGGAGGTTTACCTCCTGCCCAGGCATATGTCCTGCCCAGGCATAGGAGAAAAGAGGAACACCTCAAAAAGAGAGGCAAATGCTGGAACAAATGTCAACACAAACGCAGAAGCAGGCAAAGAACAATGAAATCAGAAATACCAGCAAAATAGGTCATGGAGTTTCTCTCCTACCCAGGCATAACAAAAGGAGAACAGCCCAAAAACATAGGCAAATGCTCTGCCAAGAAACACGAACAAGCTTGCAAACAGCAATGCAAACGGAAATAAAAGCAACAAGGTGACGGACCTCTATCTCCACCCAGGCACAGGACAAAAGAAGAACACCTCAAAAACACAGGCAAATGCTTGATCAAAACCCAGAGAAACGACAAAGGACGCAAAGAACAATGAAAACGGAAATAAAACCAAGGTAGCGGACGAAGTTTTACCTTCTGCCCAGGCATAGGAGAAAAGAGGAACACCTCAAAAAGAGAGGCAAATGCTGGA